AAATTTTGAAATAATTTAGCAATGTAGGAATTAGTAAAATAAATAACTAGATAAAAGTAATTTAAATAAAGGATTTACATTTTAGAGACCATAAGCAGAGATTGCACCTGAAATAGAAAAACTTTGAGAAATTAATTTAAAAAGCACAAGGCAATAGCACAGTGAACAAATTATAAACATGCAACTTAAAAAGTGCAGTCACTGATCAAAATATGATATTACAAAATGCTAAATTCATCAACAAACAGAAAAATAGAAATCATTTTCATGTACATCAGATTTAAAAATTGATAAAGCTTTAAAGGTAGTTAAAATGAAAAGAATATTTTCTTGCAATTTGAATTTCATAAGTTTTGCAGTACAATATCTCAATCTCCATGGGAAGTAAAAATACATATACCTTTCACCACAGCAACTACACACTTTGGAATAAATGTCAGAAAAAATGAATTTCTACTACACAATAACATGTTCATACTATGGTTTTGTGGCATTATTTAAGGGCCTTAAACAAAAAGGTAAAAAATATTAAGGTGAATTCTAAAAAAGATATGACTGAATAGAATATAAAGCCTATTAAATCAAAAGTAGCCAATTAAATAATTAGTTACCTAAGTACTCCAGGAGACATTTCCACAAGTTACAGTAGAGCAGGAAAGAAATAAGCCTAAAACAATATGTAACATGATAATGTTACAAAACAAATATAAAGAGACATACAGATGCAGTTGTATATGTCCGTCTGTGGGTGTATGAGCAATGGGAAGATGGTGGTGCACATGTTTGATTAAAGCACGGTCCACATGGGAGGTGTTGATGCAGAACTAAGCAAGGGTGATGTTCAAACGTTACACTAACAGAAAGGGGATCCAAGTTTAAAGAGACATACAGATGCAGTTGTAAATGTCCGTCTGTGGGTGTATGAGCAATGGGAAGATGGTGGTGCACATGTTTGATTAAAGCACGGTCCACATGGGAGGTGTTGATGCAGAACTAAGCAAGGGTGATGTTCAAACGTTACACTAACAGAAAGAGGGGATCCAAGTTGAGGAGAAAGATGGGCATGGAGGAAGGACAGGACGGAGAAGAAAGAGGAGGGGATGAGGGGAGAGGAGCAAACAAAGTTATACATTAATGGGACCAACCTTCACTAGCCCAGTTTCCAGGAAAATAAACATCGAAATAAAATTCTTTAAGTCTTGGTTAATGTATACATCAATCTCACTTCCTGAAGTATGCTCCCTTGCTCTGCACAATACCGATCATCTTTTTTTAAAAATTATCTTCCATGTCTCTGCTCATACAGCTGACTGCACCCTCTCCAGGATGCTGCTATTCCAATTTTCCTTACCCTTTCCTACGTCAGCTTTCCTGCCTTGTGAACGTTTTGTGGTCATATTTGGTGAAATCTATCTCTTCATCCACATCTCTTTCAAGGAAGAGCCCACATCAATTTTTATCTCTTCTTAAACAAACTTCTCCCTTTAGTAAGCCCAAAGGTGAACTTAGCTTCTCTTCTTTTTTGACCCATCATGCCTAGGAGTTTATAGAAATGTTTGCTTAACTATTACACTCTGGGCTCAGAAGTCACTTATTTAACTCCTTTGGATGCAGAACCATCTTTTAATTTTTAATATTCTCATCAATGTTTAGAGGATAATTCCACTGATCTTATCATAAGATGGATAAACACTTGCACTATCACCATTAGTACTGTCTTCTGCTTTTTAAATTTTTAGCCTCATTATGATTATATTTAAAATACAGTATATTACTCTTCAAGAATAACATGCTAAGCAATATTTTAAAATTATATATTTAAAGCCTTACAAAACAAAAATAACATACACTGCAAATACACATATGATCCACCAATGTTTTCCAAATTTTTAAAAGAGGATAAACTGTACATTTATATACAATTTTATTTTGGCAAAATGTGTCATAAACATTAGTAATTCCTTTTTATGTTTTTAAACTTTATTAGTACACAATTGCAATATATCTTGCTTACATTCCTTGAGTGGAGGTGGTGCACGTAAGTAACACATCTTCATTGCTTTTTATCCATGCCTCTGCCCTGCACCACCCTCCTCCACATCTTGTTCTTCCCATTTGAGAATCAACCATGTCCCTGCTTCCTATCATTTATCTTTTACTTTGCTTTTTCTCATATTTTGGGTTTCCCTATTATTCTGAAAAAGAGTGACTTTTTTATAAGAACCATGAAAAACTCTCATTAATTACAATAAGTTTACAGCATTAATTATGGCATGTAAATTTATAGTCTCGAATCATTTCATACCAAAAAGAAATATATATTTTTCTAAAAATTCTATTTGTCTCAAAAATATATGCAGATTATTTTTCATATTTTCGATCACTCAGTCATTAAACCTGAAGGAAATTTCAGTATACTGCAGTAATCACATGATTATCTTGGAAGAATCAACTCTTCAATGAACGTAAATGAAATAACCTCAATTTTGTTTTCTAGTCCAGAGCTTCTTCATGGCACTTTTCATCTCTGCGTTTCTCAGAGTATAGATGAGAGGGTTCAACATCGGGGTCACAACGGTGTAAAACAGTGTCAAGGATTTATCAATGGGCAAGGTAGAGGGAGGTCTCACATAAATAAAAATACAAGGAACAAAGAAGAGGACCACCACGGTGATGTGGGAGCCACAGGTGGACAAGGCCTTCCACCTCCCTTCCTGGCTCAGGTTCTTCAGGGAGTGCAGAATGACCCCGTAGGAAATGAGCAAGATTGTGAAGATGGCCACGGAGATCACCCCGCCATTGGCCAGCACTGTGAGGCTAACGACATAGATGTCCATGCAGGCGAGTTTCAGTAAGGGGTACATGTCACAGAGGAAGTGGTAGATGACATTGGGGCAGCAGAAGGGAAGGTTGTAAACAAAGAGAACGTGAGGTACAGCATGCACAAAACCCCCAACCCAGGCCAGCAGCAGAAGCAGAGCGCACCGCCTCTGTCTCATGATGATCAGGTAATGCAGGGGTTTGAAGATAGCCACGTACCGGTCATAGGCCATGACCACCAGGAGTATTATGTCAACACCACCAAATAAGTGTGCTATAAAGAGCTGTGACGTGCAGGCTTTGAAGGAAATGGTTCTCTTCTCGTGGAGTAAGTTTATAATTATACTTGGGGTAACTGTCGTGGAACAAACAGCATCCATAAATGATAAGAAGCCAAGAAAAATGAACATCGGGGCACCCAAGGCTGGGCTGACCACCACAGTCATGACAATCAGCAGATTGCCTGCCATTGTCACCAGGTAGATCATCAAGAACACAGCAAATAATATTTTCTGACCCTGCAGGCTCCGAGTGAGCCCCAGGAGCATGAACTCAGTGACGTTGTTCCTTTGTTCCATGCGTCCTTCTACGTGTCCTCGTATCGCTGCTCAGAGCAAAATTACCTGCAAATAGATTTATTAAAAGTGAATTCAGAAAGTTTAGAACATTGTTTATTCATTTAATTTATAGTTACTGTGTTTTATTACATTCTAGTAGTGTCAGAGATAATAAGAATGCATGTTTCATTGATGCATGGGGCGCAATCTTAGCCACTTGTAGAGGAATGGTGTCAGAAATAGGTAATTAAAGACATCCTGGAAGAGACTCATAATGAAAAAAAAGTGAGACTGCCACAGCCAGGTGTCCATTAGAAAACTAAAATACTTGGGCATATAATTAACTGTACATGCCAAAATAAGGATTGATTAGATTTAATGTAAAAAAACAGAAAGATATACTTTATATTTGCTTCAAGTTAATAAAGGAGAGGTGACTTTCTACATTCTTGTAGTAGAAAAATATTCTCAGTTAATAATAACTATCTAAAACTTACATATTGTTACTCTCAATCTATTTCTAATAGGAATTCATACCCTATTTAAATAGACAAAAGTATCTACAGAATGGTATTACAAGTTAGACCACAGAAAGAGTTATTATCTAAAATATACAAATGCTTTTACAAAATTAATATATGAAATATAAATCAATAGCAATGTGGTCACATGATACATAGACAAGGAAAGAAAATGTACATCCATATGACCAAAAAACATATGATAGGACGCTGTCATTCACCTGTAAGGGGAAAATGACAAAAGAAAAGAAATGTACAAATACCGCCTTGTATACATCAGACTTCAAATGTGATAAAGCCGGAAAGGTGACTGATAAAAACTGTAACAGTATTTTCTTCACTGTGAATCCTGTATTTTTTGGAACTCAATTTGACAATCTTTATTGAAGTAAAAATTCACATATCATTCATTACATTCTTTGTAGTCTACTTCATGGAAATTCAAGTCATCATACATAAGGACATAAGCACAACATGCCAGTGGAATTATTTTAATAGCACCCTTAAAGTTTAGAATTTAAGGTGAATAATACACATAATAATATAAGGTGAATATTGGACAGAATAAAGAATCTCTTAAAAGAAAAAGCAGTCATTCATGAGAGTTCATTGCAATTGTATCAGCGCTCTTGGTGAAATTTCTGAAAGTGATAATGAAGCATAAAACTATGTATACAAGGATATTATTATAAAACAAATATAAAGATACCATATCTATCTGCTTATATGAGGCATATGAGCCTGGGGAAGGTGGATGCACCTATATGTATCTTGAAAATCTAGAATACATTTGTGCTATTCAGGCAAGCAGGACTGCAATGTGTGATTTCTGCCTCAGTTGTGCTATTGCTGGTTTGTACACAAAGGATTAAAATGACACAAGTGGGAAAATTGCAGGAGGAAGAGAAAAGAAAAAGGGGGAGAAGGAGGAGGAAGAGGACAAGGGACGAAGAAGTGGGAGAACAGGATACTGACAGCAGTTAGAGATGCAGAGGGAATTTTCATAGAGAAAGAAAACCCCAGTATAAGGATCAATAGTCACTGGCCCGTTTACATTGTAAAACAATCTTAGTACTAACTATTACCCCTAAATCTCCACTGACCTTTGCTGCAATCCTACTTTAGAAAATCTGCCCTGCTTCCTAAACGTGGTTTCCTGCCTTCCTCGTCGCAGCTCATAACTGTTCTTGCAGATTTCATTCTACCTTTCTCGTCACCATCCTGCTCCTGTAATCTCCTCTCTGTCTCCCACATCATCAATTTTTCTCCTGGCATTGAACAATTCTGCCACTATACTTATAGAAAACTGGGGGAAGGGCAGGGGATAGGAAAGAAAGGAAAGGAAACACATGGGAAAAGAAAAAAGAAACAAAGTCTTTGTAAATAGGAAGGGGTGGGAGAGAGGGCAGGGGAATCAGCAAAAAATAAGAATTAAGTTATAATGTAAAGGCACAAATTCCCAATGATGGATGTCATCATATTGCATACCTAAAATGTACAAACAAACAGTGAATAAAAAGAAAGCCTGATCATGCAAACATACATATATATTCTTTTCGGTAATTCTTAGAAATTGTCTTTAGCCCTCCATAAGTTGTAAAGCCACATTGCAGCCATAGATAAACTTAATGTTGATCTGATTCCCACTGGGTTGCAATGTCTTCTTACAGCCTGAAAAAAAAAAAAAAAAAAAAAAAAAAAAAAAAAAAAACAAAACAAAACCTAGTGTGTTTGTTGAGTTAGCAGGGATTGTTACAATCTCCCATTCTTTGTATCGTTCTGGGATTTGGTTGTGAAGTACACTCTGCTGTGCCAACCAAGGGCCATCAGGGAAAACAGGCTAGATAACATAGTAAGGGTGTTTAGGCACACGCAGAATAGAGAGCATCATCCCTAAGAAAATACCAAGACGTTTAAGACCATCTTCCCGAAACAACTCTTTTCTAGTCCCAAGGCTCTTTCCAAATCAAAGGTGAATTCTGAAGAGTCCAGGACCAGAATGTAGATAGAAGTACTATCTAGAGAACACTACCACCTGGGAAACTAGTGTTTTTCATGGGAGCTGCCTTCCTGCCCACATACTAAGTCAGCCTTAATAAATTAAAAAAATTATCCCTTTGGTCCAACATCAGTTTGGAACAAACACCCCACCTCACTTCTTAGCTCTCCTTGTGCCAAACTTCCCACTTTTCCAAGTCCATTGGTGAAACTGAATCCTCCTCATCTTCCCCCGCCATTCCAAAGAACTGGAGTAACAGCTCCCTTACTCACGACTTCTCAGCAGCTCCCACAGGCCACACATTCACCTTTTGCAGATGTAACCTCACTCTAGTTTTTGACAGCTAAAGAATTCCTAGAAGATAACTTGGCTGATTGTATGAATAGATTTACAAATAGCTGGACTCCAAAAATCCCCCGAATAGTTACCCTTTCAAATTGGTTTGTAAGAACACTGTTGCTAAAGGAATACGTTTAATATGAATATCTTCAATATTAAAATATTCAAGAAGAGTATTAAAGATTGGGAGCAATATACACATATTTTAGCAATGGCAAAAGACCCTCTAATTACCAAAATCATGTAGAATTTTTAAAGGATGTGAGTTCTTTCATAGCCATTATTCTGTGTGCATACGTAAAGCTTGCTCCAGAATCCCATGTCATGAGTTACCTGCCCAAGGAGACAGTCAGTCGCTCCAAGTTCTGGGTTTTAGCATTTTCTCTATGGCCCTTTGTGATAACAGCTTCATTCATGCATGCTGATGCCATCATTGAAAATATAGGTGCAAAAGCACACAAACCCTTTATTGTATCTCAAGATGTTTCCACTGACCAATTTCATTTCACATTTGCAGAAAGATTGATAAATCGGACTTCTACAAAAAAAGACTTTTTTCAATTGCTGTGATTTTTAAAATTAACATCAAGGATGTCCTATAACTGCAAGAAATCTGGATCATGATTATAAACTGAGAAACCCTAAATATTAATTGCTGGAAAATTGTCCTAAATACAAATAAATAAGAAATAAGCATGCTGAGGTAAAATAATCGATTTTGTGGGGGAAAAAAGACTCTCAAAAGATATAGGTATTTGCAATTTATCTTACACCTAAAAAGTCAATTAATGAAATTGCCTTTAAAATATTGTTCATCCCAGCCAAAAATCCTGCCCTGTTTCACACATCACACTTGAATTTAAGGTTGACAAAGCACGGAGAAAATATTTAATCCCTGCTTTATCGTGATTTGAGTTTATCAATTCCTAAGAAGTTGTGGCCCGAATCCTAGTACACATGAGGTTAGGGAAAGTCTGTGGACACCTTATCTGGGCCGTGACGCATATCGCTGAACAGCAACTTTGCTGAATCTCCAAGGTGATATTTTCTGTAATTAAATCCATTGAGACCTGAGCCAATATTGTATGCAGAGATGCCAGCCAAAGAATAACTACCTAAAACACAATTTCCAGAGATATACCCTCTGGGGGGATGTCGTAGTTCAACAGCTTGAGGTGAAATCACCAAAAAGGAAGTATTAAATTTGGGCACAAATAAAATATATAAAAACTCATTAAAATCATGACCTGTGGCTTTAAGGTAGGATAACAAGGGGACAGAATAAGACCAAAGTGTAATATGCACATGTATGAAACTACTTTATAGAATCCCAGTATTTTGTAAAATTGATAGTAACTAATAAAACCTCCATTTTAAAAAGATCCTGCCTCATAGAATATTTGAATTCGGTGAGTGTATCATCTAACTCATGCATCTTCAGTTGATATCAGGATGCCCAACCACAGGTGAAAATTGATTTCAGGACTGACCTCTTTCTTGTGAAGTTGTCGACCACTGATTCTATCTTAGCATTTGTTTCATTTGGATTTAGTATGTTGGCTAGTATTTTTCTAATACTTTATCAATTTCTTTGGTGGTTTGGATATATGTCATCTTGCTGGCTTATACTCTTACTCAGACAACCCCACATGATCTTTATGATTTGAAAGGTGTTCATTACATTCTCTCTTTTTACCATTCTAATGTTGTTCATTTGAACTCTCTCTATTTTTACTTAATTAATTTAGCTAAATGTTCGTCCATTTTGTTAGTTCCTACATGATAACAAGAATGAATGGAGAAAGGAGAGTTAAAGGTGGGGTAGAGAAGCGGGCAGAGAAGGGCATTAAAAAGGAAATGAGCAGAGTTGTGTACATGCACCTAGTCCCCAAGACGTTTGTATACTTCATGTACACCAAACATATGCTAATTAAATGAAATAAAAATTCTTTACAAAGGAAATTTACATAGTAATGGGAAAATTAAAAGTGGGGTAGACCTATGTGAAATGGTATTAAAAGAGCTTCAGGAGGCTGAGTCTACGGGAAAATCTAAACACAGAAACAAAGCCACTCACGTGTGTATGCAAATATGCTTGAATCTGCCAGGAATAAATACCAGGTGTGCTCAGGAAATAGGTGAATGTTTAAAGAAAATATTTT